TCTCTACAAAGAGCTCAAATGAAGCAGGCTTTATTATATCAAGGGATCTTAATTTCAGTTGATCAGGTTAAAGAGTTGGATGCTAATTATAATGACATAATTGAACGATTAGATGATGTACCTCAAATTCATTTAGCTGAACTTATGATTGATATACCTTATGATGCAATTAAAGAACTTTGGGAGGTTTCATATATAGGTTTTGCTTCAAAGCCAAATTATGTTGTTATACTCAACGACTCAACATTTCTTTGTACTTGTATAAATATCATAAGTTAAGGAATGTTATGTCGACACCAATATCATGTGCTTATTTAATCAGATTATGCAACCTTTCACATATCACTTTTACATACCCATTGGTTTGAATCATTTTCATCTGATATAACAAATTTTGTTACAGTATTTCGAGGAATACAAAGTGCTACATCTGTACCATTGCATTATATGAATCAAGTAAGAACCTGTAATGTTTATACAACAGCCATTAGAAGTCACATTAATAAAAAGGTTCAATTTGGTACTACGATGTTTGTGGCTAAAACTAGCATTCAAATTGCGGTATCCGAAAGTGTTACTGAAGAACTAACTGGACTTTTAGTGCAATTTATTATAAAGTATTGTCGTGGTACAGGACTAGGCATAAAAGATACTTCATCATCACCAAACATTATGCTACAAGAGTTTTTTACTACCGAAGTTACAGAATCTACATCCAATCATGTATCAGAATCTTCTACCATTACTCAAGTAATATGACAATCATTGGGTAATCTTACTGAAGTGTCTAATCCAGAATATCATAGACCAAAAGGACGGCCTCCTAAATGACTTAAATTAGCTATTGAGGAATGTTCAACAGCTATTAATAAGTCAGACAATGCTGTTTTCAAAACATGTAGTTATTGCTCAGGTAAAGGCCATAATATTCTTAGTTGCCAAAAGTACAAATCTAATATGGATACTAAAGAGAATTGTTAGTGGTAAGGTTAGGGTGGACTAGATGTTTGTGATTATGTGCTAATGGTTAAATTTAGAAGTTTAGAGTCTTAAGTTAGGGATTTGGTGTTTATCGTTGAATGTTTTACTGAATGTCTTATTATTGATTGCTAACGAATTGTTATTGATTGTGCAAATTTAACAAAATATTTTTATTCATTGAATATAGAATCAGCCGGGATGATGGGTTATATAATATACACTATTGTAGTAGACAGTATCAATAATGTTATAATAGCATATATTATATCACCCAATTTTAGAAGCGTTTTGGCTAATTTTTAAACGTATTGGTTTGTCTATTATTTTAGCTTTATTCAATGCTAAAGATTTGTGCTTATTTGGCAGACAAACCATTTATTAC